TTTTTTTATTACTTTGTTGTTTCAGCAACATTAAATTTAAAAACTGGACTTTTGAGTTAAAATATATATTTATAATTTTAATAAATGACAAATTAAAAAAGCATGAACATTTTTTTTGTATCGAAACTGTGACACCAAAGTATCGAACCGAACCGTGAATTTTGTGTATCGTTGCACCCCTAAAATTTAGATGTGGTAAATATCATATTCTCACCAGGATAGCTGTTAGCTTGTTTGTCTGTGCTGGTCGAACTGTCTGATGTCTTCTTGGCTGCAGGCTTGGTTCTGCTCCGGACTTTGTTGAAATTTCCTTGTAGGATCCACTCATGCTGTAACCCCTCATCAGGAGTCATGCGCTTACTTGGATCCCAGCTGAAAAGCACAGACAGTTTGAATTTAGATGAATTCATCTATGTGTACAAGTAATAGTCATGATCTAGCAGCTCAAGTCAGAGGTAGCAAAATGTAATTGTGGTCGATTAAGAAAGACAAAGAAAAGAATCATAATGTGACCTATGAACAAATAAGCAGAAGTGTACCTGAGGCAGCGTTTGATGAAGTCTAAGAAGACAGCATCATTCGTTTTCAGCACAGCTGAAAGCTCTTTGGAACTCGGTCTCCGTTTCTTCCCCTTGCTGTTAGTGATATTTCTTGGGTTTCCTTTAGAGTCTGCACAGATAATACCACACAGAGTTATCACTATCTCTGAAAAGTTCTAAAAACACATACTTTACATAAAATAAAACATATAAATGATTATAAATTATTAAAATCTCACCGAAGAACAACCTCCTTCTCGATGCTGACTGAACAAAATCATTTGGAGGCATTCCAAGGACCTATCAGGTCAAATATCACAATAAGAAGGAAGCAATTACACTTGCAAAGCGTGAACAGTAATCTCTGTATACAGAACAGGTTATTTCCTTGTCATACCTCCATTATGCAAGCTATCTGCTCCACTTCACTCTCTCCAGGGAAGAGAGGATAGCCTGTGTAAAGCTCAGCTAGGATGCAGCCCAGGCTCCACATATCAATGGCCATGCTGTAAGGGTGACCCAGGATGACCTCTGGAGAGCGGTAGAAGCGACTCTGGATATATGTGTACACTAAAAGAGGGAAACGAGAACATTTGTGTCACCTCCCTAGCGTGATATTACTTAATTGTACATGTGCATCAAACCACTTCTGCCTTCTTACCTCTTTGTTGTTCATAGCAGCTTGAGCCAAAGTCGACCACCTTGATGTTGCCTGGCCCTCTTTGAGAGAGAAGGATGTTCTCCTGTTGAAAAGAAGAAGCAAACTGTCAAAAAACTCGCCAATTTCTATAGTGCCAGTGCAATACTCTGATGCGCCACAAGGTGGAGCACAATCTGCAAAATTGTTCTGAGTAATCCTTGCAAAGCAATCATCAACAGCAGTACAGTTTTGATTGCTTCACTACGTTTCAATCAGTCGAATATTATTTTTTTATCTTATGATGCAGGTCAGTACCGGTTTGAGGTCGCAGTGGATTATCTTCTCCCTGTGCAGCATCTGCAGGCACCTCAGAAGTGCATGAGCGAAACGCCGGATAAGGGCGAGGCTGAAGCCCTGGAAGTTGTTTTTTTTTATGAGCTCGTACAAGTTCACCCTAGATGAAGGAAGAACATGTGACGTTTGGTTATTTCATCAAGATGACGACACATAAAGAAGCTTCGTTTAGCTGAACGCTTTTATGAAAATACTTTGTCCGTGTCCAAGTGTACTCAATGTGGATTCACTTATAAAAAGATGCTCCTCAAATAAACCCTCTGAAAAAGAAGGCTGCTCATTTTGATGTCACTTGACACCTACAATAAAACATGCACTGAGTCTCGAGCACTTACTTGCAAATAATCTGCGATTGTGCCTCCATTCATAGGAAGACCGATACAAAAACGTTATCCCCCTGCTATTTCTCGCTGATGAACATGAATTTCTTTAGACTGTGTAACCAGATCCTTCACACATGAAGCAAGAAGGGGTAAGAGATAGGGCCCCAATCAAGGCCTTAACTAAAGGATTTGGTGACAGTAATGTTAGACAAGGTAGCAGCTCGAGACGTCCCGTAAAGGTCATTGAGCCGCAGTGACACACAAAGTTCTCTCTCCTCAAATAGATATCAGTAGTGACCCATACTCAAACATGGTTGGCTGGAGGTACACAGGTAGTCAATTTACTCCTAATTGATTGCAGTTACTTAGAAGTAAAGATCAGAGACATGCGAGAACTGCCTTTGATAAGCTACACTGTCTTCACACCGCGCTATTGTACCTGGGAAGGGTGACCGACGGCGGATCCCCTCGATTAAAAGCTTCATTATTTAGTGTGTTTACATTCCTGCTTTCTGAATGTAGGTAACATACTAACCCCAGAAGCTCAAAGGAGATGCAAAGGTGATTTCGGAAGTAGAAGTACTCCTTCATGTGGATGACATTGTGGAGGTTGTCTTTGTCTTTCCTCTTTATCACATCCAAGATCTTCAGCTCCACAAGAGCCTGGTGATGAAACCTACAGACAAATTTACAGCTGATACTTAAATTCGCACCAAGAGTGATTTGATTCATTACTCATTTCTATATTTTAATAATACAAGTGCAGAATAAAAATATTATTTTCTATAAAGGGACAAGAGTCATTAAATAAATGAGGATCTGTATTTGTACAGGCGTTATTTCTCTGATTGAGATGCTTTTCAGCACAAAAGCCTCCTGATATCTCTGGATATTTCTTAATATCCACTGCACGCAACCTTTTCCCAGAGAAATCAGATCTAAGATAGCCATCTGACACAGCTTAAAGATCTTCTGTGCCAGGTTGCACCTATTTTGTTTTCTGCATTATTGAAGTAGCGGTAGGACCCAATGGCTCCTGCATCTAACCTACAGGACTCTGGCACTGCAGCCACTGTGATCCTCAGTTAAGAAGGACAGGTAAGATAATACCATTGGGGTGCCGCCTTCTACCATGCTAAATCAGGTCTCAGCTATTTGGCAGTGTCCTGAAGTGTAACGTGATCCGGTTGCAGACATGTGGGGGAAAAGAAACTCACAACAGGGCATCAGATCTCAAATGACTGACAAAAGTTAACTTCTTAAATGTCACAAATAATTTATTCCATAGAGCAGTGATTCCCACCCAGAGGTAGCCCAGCGACCACGGGCCAGTTGTACCTGGACAGGCGATGTGACAAAACCCGAATGCAATTTAATTTAGAATTGAGTAGACGTAGACAGGCTTTCGCAGAAAAGATAACAACTACTTGAAAGTAAGTAGTAGAAATTTGAAGTAATAAAAGTATATTAAAAGCTAAAACTGGCAAGCAATTGAGGCAGGTAGATAAGCAGTTAAAATTATTAGGGAGCCAGTAAACAAAAACTACATTGCCAAAAGTATTCAATCATCCATCCATATTATTTCATTCAGGTGTTCCAATCACTTTCATGGCCACAGGTGTATAAAATCAAGCACCGAGGCACACAGACTGCTTCAGGAGCTCAGTGAATTCCAGCGTGAGTGGTATTATAACAAGGTGGAAGTGATTGGGAACGTCAGCAACCCACATAAAGTTGCAGACCTTCAGATCAGCTCAAGAAGAGTGTCTAGAGAGCTTCATGGAAATTGTTTCCATGGCCAAGCAACTGCATCTAAGCCTCACATCACCAGCTCTAATGCAAAGCTTGGATGCAGTGGTGTAAAACACGCCGCCACTGGATGCTAGTCGTGGAGAGGTTTACTCTGGAGTGACAAATCACACTTGTCCGTCCGATGGACAAGACTGGTTTGGATGGAACGTATTTGTCTGCCTGGTTTGTGCCGAGCATAAAGTCTGGTGGAGGGGGGATTATGCTGTGTGGTTGTTTTTCAGGAGTTTAGGCCATTAGTTCCAGTGAAAGAAACTCTTAATGCTTCAGCATACCAAGATATTTTGGGTAATTTCATGCTCCCAACTTTGGGAGAACAGTTGGGGATGGCCCTTCGTCTTCCAACATGACTGTGCACCAGTGTACAAAGCAAGGTCCTAAGAACGTGGGTGAGTGAGGAGCCCTATGGATTAAGAATGGGATTTCACTCAAGTTCATATGCATGATAAGGCAGATGAGCAAATACTTTTGGCAGTTAGTGTAGCTGAATATGAATAGCTGTTACCAGAGTAGGTACTAAAAGTAGTGCACTGGTGGTTGAAATATTAAGCTAATAGTTGAGACTAAATAATTCAGACAGACCAAATTTAGTTTGAAATGAGTTCAGTGGGGGTTTAATGTCCATCTGACAGCGGTGTGAGGGCAAGTCCAAGGATAAAGGTCGGGAGCTGTAAAGCTTTACTTCACTTGCAATTTTAAAACAAGAAGTATATGAAGATAGGAAGTGTTTCTTTTTTTTTAAAAAAAATACAAATTTCAGGATCTTTTTTGATTCTTTAGTGAATTGATCACAAACAAAAAGAAAAAAATAAATCATATTACATTTTCCTGTCTTTTCTCATACCTTTTCTTATTGCGGATTATCTTTATGGCTACAAGTTCATTGTTCTTGTGATCCAGGCATTTTAGGACCTGCCCGAAGGAGCCTTTCCCGATCACTTCCAGCACTTCGAACCTGTAGGCAATGTGGTCATGCAACACCTGAAAGAGCAAGAGAGAGGAGAAGTGAGGACGTGAGACTACTGTGCACTTTGTCCTTGCACTAAAACAAATCTTTATATCACAGAAAAAGTAAATGATGTAAAGTAATATCACGATTTACTAACATAACATTATATTAACTTGGCGATATCAGTCTTAGAATACAGGCAGCGTTCTCTTCTTTGTACACATCAGCCACAGTGGCTTTCCTCTAACTGTCAGTCAGGGCTGTAACAGTGAGATGAGCCTCAACAGACATATGAGAGTCTAAACAACGGTCAGTCACTCAGCCTTTAACAGCTCATTCATTGCATATTGTCTATTGACACACAACTGTCCATCATGTGTCTGATTTATACATGGTCAGATTGAACGGTGGAGTGGTGCCCGCAGCTGCTGGAGGTCATTTGGTCACATACTGTTTTCATTGGCCAGCTTGTTGGTGCATAAATGAATAGCACAAATGTCTTTTACATAACGACTACTACTGTTGCATACTACATGTGGGTTCTCTATCATATCGAGACTATCTCTCCACTTGTAC